TATTGGAAATCATATAGCAAACTGGGTTCGTAGGCAGATTTGGAGTTTGCACCAGAACCCCCTTTTTGGCCTATATAACGTTAATCAAAAGATAGACTGCTTAGATTCGTCCATAAGAAGATTTAAAAAACATAATTCGGGCCGAAAAATTAAATGAAAAGCGAAAAATTGCTTCGCTTGAATAATTTCATCATTAATAATGAATAAAATAATCTATGTATAGATAGATAAGATTTATTTATTAAAAAATAAATGAAAAGCATTATATATAAAAATGATTAATGTTATCGAATGAATCATTTGCTACTTTACGTAGCTTTTCAATTTTAATAAACCATGTTGATATCTGAAGGTTTTCTCTCCACGACTACAAGTATTATATCAAAGTTATCCCGCCATTATATCTTTATTTTGATATAGTTTGTTCACTTTCCATTGCTCTCCAATTACTTTAAAATATTCGCGCCGCTTGTTGGTACTGTTTTGAAAAAATGAGATTCTAACTGATGAAAAAATTCATCATTCTTTTGTGATTTTGTTCTAAGAACTTCTATAAGAACCTCTGTTTGTTTTGCCAAATCACACGAATTTCTTCTAGATATCAAATTATTTTTTTTTTAAAACAATTGAGGTTCGAAATTGTGCGCATAATTTTTTGATCATATAAATATTTTTAAAACAACAAAACGCACCTTGTAATGAATGTTATCGATAGTTTGAACAAGCTTCTGGCATGAGTTATGTGATTGATAGATAAATGATGGTGTTAAACTTTTTTTTTTGTGTATTGGATTAATTAAAGTATTGATGCAAATTTAATTTGTTTTTTAAGTTTAATACAATACCATCCCATAATATATTTTTTCACAACACTTTAAAGCTCGTTGAATTTTAAAATCTTTGTATATATTCTTTCGATGTTTCTCCAAAAAATAAGTCTTTGCATTCTAATAAACCCACATCATCAACGAGGAATCGGTTTCTTTTATCGGTATCGACGTCGTATAGCGGATTTTATAAACTACCAGAAGAAAATACAAGCCATAACAACACCCAAGAAAAGTTTTCAAGAATCTAAGAATACTCATAGCAAATACAATAGTCAAGCTTGTAAAGTAGGAATTTGATCTGCCCAAGGTATCTATCTATCAAGGCATCAATAATTCATTAAATGAAAAATAAGCGCGCTCAATACCATAACTGGAATATACCCATAGTCCGAATAAAAGTACAATTGCAGTATCAGCAGCAGTTAGTCTTATTCGGATTTTTGAATAGGACATCCATTCTTTTCTAATTAAATTCCATACCGGCCTCTTTTCACAAAATGTTAAAGAGTTGCTGAGGGTAATACTAATATTAAAATCGGTGAGAATCATAATTTCCTAAGAGCTCATCCACCTTATTTCATAGTCATCTATCTCACGATCTGCAACGAACAAGCTAAATATCTCTGATGAGATCGATGTCTTGACACGACCAATTGGACTAATATAATGCATAAGAATTTGTTCATAAAGCTAAATATTTATCCTTTCTTTTTTGAGAATATATATTTTCAAGTTAATGGAAATTCTTTTTTTCAATTTTAATTTTCAAACCTGACAATCGTTGCATTTATAACGACGATTTAGAGTTAAGCAAGAATCTATGCGTAGATATCCTTGGTCTCTTGGTTTCCTATAATAGGATAATCTTGTATCCCTTGACTCGCTTTAAGCGTTGATTTAATACTCGTCCATTCGCTTGTTGCTATAAAACAACAGCAATTTGTATCCATAGATTCTGTTACATTCGAAGAATCAGAAATTAAATGTGAGGTTTCTCATTGGTATGAAAGTGGTTAAGAATAATGCGTAAATTTCTCAGAAGGAGTAAAATGAGATCTTCTGTCTAAAACAATTCAGCTTTAGGTCTTGATTGTATCCTTGTATTAGAAAGGTTGAATAATTAAAAGTTAGAAGGCGGAAATTCAAATAATAGTTCTTTTCTTTAAATATTGTTAAGGGACTGCGTTCATTTTTCTGCTTCAATTCATTGAAGTTAAGATCTAGTCGACAATTTTCGATATCTCAACATTTTGACTTGATAAGCCAATATTTCGTCTAGGGAAAAATTATTTTCTAAAAAATAACCAAGTTCATCCCTAATATTGCTGAACGAAGTGAAATCTTTTTATTCGACAGATAAAATTTTTCTTTCAACATCTGTAGAAATTTTTTTGGGCGACTTTCGCATCTCTATTACCGTGCTTTGGTGTGAGCCTGAATCAAAAAGGTTTGTTTGGAAAATTTTTGGTTGATGTAGCAACGATGTTGTATCTTCAGCCTTTCGTTGTCTTTTTTTAATCACTTTCGGAGGTTGAGAGATGTTGGTGTCGCGCTCGACAAATTCTCTCCATAAATCATAGTCTATCCACAAGTTCGGGACTGCGGACAGGATAATATACCATCCTATAAGTAGTATCGCCCATTCTAAGTATATCATGTCCAACCTTTTTGGTTGAAAATTGCTAATGTCATTATTCCAATATGTTTCGTTTGGAATAATGTCAGAAAATACGTTGTCGTTATTAAGTGATAAGAAAATTTTGCTCATTTTGTTTTTGGATAAAGTTTCAATTGATGTGATGCTGATCTTTGATGTTCTCTGTTTCTTATAAAAAACTATTAAGCCAATCATGGGATGCCAAGTTTTTTTGAAGTCGCAGCTAGCTTTCGATCAGATCAAGTGTTAACTTTAACTGATTATAAGTGTGAATACTTGTGAATAAGTTTGATCAACTAGTTGAAGTTGGTGAGGTCATTAAAGAAATTATCACTTCTCTTTATATGTTACGAGGAGTTAGTTTGCGTTCACCTAACCTAATTAATAAATAAAATTTTCGATAAAGTAAATTATATCGATCTTTGAAATATATCATGTGACACCAAGTGTTACAAAAATTATGTTAAAATTTTTTTAAAAGAAATTCTTGTGAGGCGCCTTATATAATAATGAATAATATAATTAAAAGGCAGCCCTAATATTTCAAGTGATTATCTTAGGATTTGAGAAGAAACTTAATAACCGAATGATGAGGCAATGCTTAGCAATTAATACTTTGAAATAATGCTTTGTATAGATTGGAATATTTCTAAATCATTTATCGATTTATCATACGATGAGATAATTTAAATTCTCAAAATATTGCATTTAGGTTAAATAAACTCACATTGCATAAGTACATCATTTTTTATTAATAGTTAATTTAATTATAATTATAATACATTATAAACTATTAGCCTGTATATCTTACAAAATACCAAATTTAAAAATTGAATAATACACTAAAGATCACAATTCATTATGAGAAAATTTAGAAATGTATTACCAAATTTTAACAATTTATTTGTTATATAGTAATACCTAATATCATATTTAAATTCGATATATAGGAGGTTTACTAGGAAAATGGGACTCTGAGCATTTATTATATAATTTAATAATAAATTCTTAAAGCCCTATTTTCCTAGCAAGCCTCCCATATGATAATAAGTTTGAAACAATTTAAAACAAATAAATTTAAATAAATAATAATGAATTTAAAGTTAAAAAAGTATATTTGCTTTTAGCCAAATATATATTAACCTATAACTGTTAATCCTGAATATCTCTAGGGTTCTACAATTTGATTTAATATTTGAATATTCAATTTAAAATTCAAATCAAATACAAATTAAAATTTATATTTAATTTGATTCAATCAAATTCAAATCAAAGAATGATTTATTAATTAAATCTAAAATAATGTTTGATTTGATTCGATCAAATTTAAATCAAGTATTCAAATATTTGATTTGATTTGAATTAATAATAAAGCCATTTTCAAAGTTTCAGAAGTGGTTTTTACTAAAAAAACCATAATAAAAAACACCTCTACAGCTTTGAAAATGTCTTTTTTATTAAGAAATATATAGAAAATAGTGCCTTTGCAATTTTGGAGACATTATTTACTAAGAAAACATAGTAAAAAATACCTTGTCATTTTCAGAGACATTATTTTACTAAATGAACATAGTAAAAAATGCCTTTCCAACTTTGAAAACATTTTTAACTAAGAAAACTAGTAAAAAATATGTCTGCAGCTTCAAAAACGCTTTTTTACTATTAAAATGATTATGAAGCTAAAATAGCGGTTATTATTACTAAGTTTACTTAATAAAACTGAAGCTACAATAATGATTATTACTAAGTTTTCTTAATATATATAGGCCAAAAAGATGATTCTGATGCAAATTCCAAATCCACTTCAAATCCACCTATGAACCCAGTTTGCTATATGATTTTCAATATCAAATTCAAAGCTCTAGCATTTTTTTGACTCAAATATAGTTAATGTTATCGAACTTGGCTAGGAATTAGCCTGCCTGATACCAAGAATTATACTGTTTGATATAACTATTCTAGCCTATTTTAATTCCAAATAATATAACAAAAAATTTTTACTATTCTATTTGCCTCGGAAGGGTCCAACGAAAATCAAGGAACAAAGTGACATGATTTAAGCTAGGCCTGACATTGGAAACTCAATATGAATAATAACTTTTATACAATTCTGCTTGCCTCTAGAGGGTCCAGCAAAAATCAAGGAACAAAGTGATGCAATTTGAGTTGGGCCCGATCATGCAAGCCTAAAATGTATACCATATTCTAAGTCTCACCTCTAAACATACCTCTAAGATATATATGCCAAGTCTCACCTCTAAGTCTTACCTCAAAATCACACCTTTAAGTCACACCTTTTATCA